GGCCTGGGTGAGCCATGCAAGTCACCTGGAGTCTTCCCTCAAAGGCCAAAACAGCCCAGGAAAGAGCCCTGCCCTGCTCCTTACTAACAGAAACCAAGGCAATGGCTACCGAGGGCATTCATTTCTTAAATCTACAGGCCCTGCTTCTATCATTTTGGGGGCTTTTAACCCCCGCCCTGCCCAATCTTTTTTTTCCCTTAGATTTTCGTGAAAACCTGGGTTTTTCTCATCTTTGCAGAAACATCTGTCTTCTCTGTCTATTTACTCAATCTCTAGATGTAAACATCCGCAGATGGGGCCATGTTGAGAAGTAGATATACTGATTATTGTAAATGGCTTATTACAATTTCTGTTTTGAGATGATAAACAGTTTGCGACCAGTTCGTTATTTTCTTATTCTCCACTTAACATTTATGACCTATTTCAAACCTTCATTAAGTATTGTTTCTTTTTTCAGTACTTACAATAGTTCACTGTGCAGGAACTCGCAATATCCCTTGATACTTTGGGAAAAATCTAGATAGTAGTACGAATCATTATAGCATTGCACACACACAAGGATGCATTTCCACAACAAATGAATATGATTTCTTTAAAAAGGTGCCTGCTCTAAAGATAATGAAATTTGCACTACATAAGCAGTGCTGTTTTTCTCCGATGAACTACCTGGATTTCAACCAGAACCATCTTAAAACATCTCTTCTTGGATGGATTATCCTGAAAGGCTACCCAGTTTGCAAATCTTAAGGAAGTATTTGAAAGATAAGATGTTGATAGTTGTACAAGGTGAAACAAAGAAATATCAGGACACAACAGCTGGAAAACAGGTACCATAAAATTGGGTTGCTTTTAAAATATTGATCAAGTCAAGCTTTGAAAGCAGAACTTTAAAGACACAGCCATTATTTATTTGTCAAGGTTTTCTTCCTCAAGCTTTTTTAAAGGATAGTAAATTCAAATTTTCGTAGCTTACCGTTCAATTTTACAGGGTTCTCAGATATGGTGTTTAGAGTACTTTGAACAAGCATTCTATTTATAAACATAGGTCCCAGATGGAGCCCCATCAATTGACATTTTATATTTCACCTGCAGATCCAGTTGTTATCCAGGTTTTTATTTGACAGTAACATTTTAATACCACAGCCCACAGGCAGATTCTCAAACGATGGCATTTCTGCGAGTGCCAAGCATCCTAAACAGGCTAATCCTGATGTGTATACTTTTTGATATAGACTATGGCGGCAATGATCACAGAGAATAAAGATACAAAACAGGTTCCTCTTAGTAGAAGAATTACATTATCTGTCCTTGGTGTCCTGAAAAGAACCCATTTTGGAGATAGTCTTGCTTTGAATTTCCCAGGAGATTGTGTGAGATCTATGTGAGCGATCATTAACAAAAATGTAACAAGAAGCACAGAATTTTATGCTCGGTGCAAATTTCAACTTTGTCTCAGCTTTTATCTTAAAGGGTCTGGAACCCTGGAAACTCACTGTGAGGGTTCCTTCTGCTCTGAGGTTAGTAGAGCATCTTGATATGGTCATAGGACTCTTTTTGTAGCAGGAACTCCTTTGCATATTAGGCCACACACCCCTAATGTAGCCAATCCTCCAAGAGCTTACAGGGCTCTTCTTACAGGGGCTACTGTAAGCTCTTGGAGGATTGGCTACATTAGGGGTGTGTCGCTTAATATGCAAATGAGTACCTACTACAAAAAGAGCCCCTGGGTGATTCTCACAAATTGCTCAGGGAGGCAGGACTAAATTCTTCAACTTCCTGTCTCCCGGGTGGGCATTACCCCAGCTCGGTTTGGCTACTTCATAAGCGAATGAACTCAGGAACAGGAAGGAACAGAACAGAGATAAAACAGCAACCGGAACAGGTAAGCCACTGATGGAGACAAAACAACTGATAACCAGAGGAACAATATAAGAGGAATTAAGGAAGAATTAGTGCAAGGAAGCCTCTTCCACCCATTGCTTGAGCACACAGGATTGACGGGATGGTGGTGTAAGAGGCCCTTCTAACCTCGGAGCAGAAGGAACTCTGAGTATCCAAGGTTCCGTTTCCCTGAGGAGGAGGAAATTTTGATATGGGACTTCCAATAGCGGTGTCCCCATGATGGGTGGGAATTAACTATCATCCAGCACATGCTGAAGCACTCCACATCAGCCAAGAAGGAGTACTCTCTGTGTTGATGTGAGAAGCAAAATGGTAGGCAGGTAATTTATATCTACTCAGGAAGGTGGGGTAGGGCTGAGTCATTATCTTGTAGGAGTTTCCCAAGCTGTGACATGCTAATGGAGGAGCTTTCCTGACAAGGTTCTTTTGCATATGGATTGGCTGTTGAAATTCTAATCTTATCCGTAGTGCTGTTGTAAGATGTAGAGCATTTTGTGTTTTTCAGGACTGGAAACCATGCCCTATTTATTTTTAAACTCTCTTCGTTTCTGTTGAAATTGTGTTTATGTTTATGAATTTCGATGGCTTCCCTGTGTAATCTGACATGGTAATTGGATGTGTTGTTCAGCATTTCAGTGTCTTGGAATACAGTACTGTGTCCTGTTTGAGTTAGGCTATCAGCAGGGGTTGTCTCTTTTGTCTTCAAGAAAATCTCTCATTAGCATATTAGGCCACACCCCTGACAGTACAGCTCATTAGCATATTAGGCCACACCCCATTGATTTCCTTGGCTTGCCCAGGTGCCCTGCAGCTGCGGGGAGCCTGGGCAAGCCAGCCCTTGGACAGGCTGGGAAAGGCTGGTGCCCCCCTGGCCCGCCCGCCTTGGAGTCATCAGGGGGGGGGCGCTCTCCAGGCCTTCCCTCTGTAGCCACACATGCAGAGGCTTTGGCGGTAGTGGGTGTGGTCAACTCTGAAGCCAGCCGAAACTCTGTTCCTGTGCGTTCCTGCCCAAAAATAGCCCTGAACAAGTCTATGATAATGCCAAGGTCTTGTAGCCTCTGTGATGGGGTAAGGTTGCCCTTCTCCTTGTTCAGAATGGAGCCATGGGTCTCCAAGAGCTGAATAGTTCTGAGGGTGTCCCAGGACATTCACTCCTGACTTGGAGAGCAGATCAGGGCGTCTTCCAGATAAGGGTGGATTTGTATTCCCTGTTGACGGATCAACCAGTGCTTATGAGGATCTTGGAAAAATCCTGAGGAGCTGACACTGAACCAGAGAGGAGAGCCCTGAACCGAAAATAGCCACTGTAGACAAACCAAAGAAACCTGACTAGCTCAGAGCCAACTAGGAAGGCCCAGAGTCAAAAGCAAAAGTACTTAAAAACACACCATACAAAAGTCAGGAAAACAACTCCACAGGCGCAAATGCATCGCTCAGCAGCCATTGGTCACCTTCTGAATGTACAGGCAATAGAGCCAGGAGTGCTTCCACATGGAGACCCTACAATCTATTATGGAAGTCTTACTCCTCAAGGCCTTTATGACCTCCATCAATTTCACATAAGCCTATTTGCATATTCCCATATTTCCAGGACATCGCCATTTGCAGGGTCAATAAAAGGAAGGGAGGTGGAGGAGGGGGCAGCGGAGACGGAGAAAAAAAATCTGAAAGACAAAGGAAGCAGCAGAGTCGAGAGGAGGTGTGAAAAGAAGGTGTGAAGAGAAAGAGGGACAAGCTGGAGAGGTTAGAAAACTCTCCCTCAGGTCTGAAATCGCTCTAGCAGAAAGGCAGGTTAGAAAAGAGCAAAGAGCAAGCAGGAACGAGGCAGGAAACAAACTGAGCTGGGGTAACACCCACCCGGGAGACAGGAAGTTGACGAGTTTAGTCCTGTCTCTCTGAGCAATTGGTGGGGATCACCATACCAAGAGGCCCTCCTCCTCAGAGAGAGAACAAGCGTCTAGTTCACAGTGTTGCCAAAATATGCCTGAAAGCGTGTAGGCAACGCTGTCTAAAACATCAGAAGCTGGAGGAGTGGCTGAGCAAAGTTTCCAGTGGTCAGGCGGTGCTTCAGAACCCTGCATAGCTTCTTGATCCTTCCCCATTACTAGCAAACCAGAATACATTTCGTAACATAACATGCAGATCAATTTGCATCACTTAAACAGGTCACAGAAATCACCCTTCCTTAGCAAAGAATCTCAGTTCTCTTTGAAGACTAGGACCAATTTCCCACAGCCGCTGCTCTGCGCTTGCTCCTCTCTTTGCCCCCATGGCACGTGTCAATTTCCCACTCGAAGCCGCGCGGCCGCATTTTGACCTGCGGTTTCTCCCGATTTCCCCCGCGGTTTCATGATCCTGTTTTTTGAGGATTACGTAACCGCGGGCAAAATCGGGCGAAGCCACGGGTCAAAATGTGGCCGCGCAGTGGGAAATTGACACATGCCATCAGGGCAAAGAGAGGAGCGAGCGCAGAGCAGTGGCTGTGGGAAATCGGTCTAGGTTAGAAACACTTCTAGGTGCCCCCCCAAAAAAATAAATCTGTGCAAGGTTTTTAAGTGGAAAGCACACAGCCCTGACCATATCAGAACTCTGAGTTCCTTTAGTTACAGATTTGTGAAATCAGAGTTTTCATAAATTGTTATACTTGAGCATGCTTATACAGACATACGAATCTACCATAATGAGTTAAACAACTGGTACAGTCCATTCTTACTAACACCCCATCTCAGGGACACAAAGGTTTTTCTGAGCATTTCTTCTTGAGGTCTTTAACCGGAGGTACTGTGTAATTAACCTGGGGCCCGCTGTAGCCAAATGGCGTACTCCAATGAAGTTTGTCTTCGATATTCACCAGTGCTGAATCCTCACTAGAAAATCATAATCCTTAATTTTTTGATGCAGAATAAATTCTATTCATAATTTATTCTGCTTGCACCATTTGGATTTCACTTTAAAAAAAAACCCCAAACCTTGATGATTCCCCTCTCCATAGTATATATACTATCCTCCTAAGGGTGCATCGACGATTTATTTTATTGCTCAGCATTAGAGAGGCCAGATGCTGCTATGATCTCTCACACCACGGCATATATACGTACCTCAGTAACCGACAAAAGCTTCTTCTGTAGCTGAGCCTTTGGCTAGCTGCAGCTACACTAGGAGGAAACGGGGGACGTGATGGGAAGTAGGCGAGGGCTGCAGAGAATATCAAAGCCACAATGCCAAATTCTAAGGGGAAACAATTAAGGAAGAACCAAGTAAGAAATTAGTTCTTGTAGAGGAAATGCATTATTCATAAACATACTATTTGAAACACAGGAAAACTCTAGTCCAACGTCCGTAAAAGTGAAATCAGATGCTGTGTGAACAGCAGCGAATGCAACCTAGAAACATCTAATTGCTGACTTCTGGAAATAAAAGAGCAGACAACACTGCTGGCTCACAGACTCCCTCCTCACTACCACACTGACAGTGCATTTTAAAACCAAGTAGATGGGACAGTCGGCAGCACTACGACCGCTGTGTGTGCTTTTTCTTCCAATTTTAAAGGACAAATACCCTAGCAAGATTCAGTTCTTTCCCTGTGCCCTGGCTAACAGGTGCAGCATGGCCCAGCTTAAAAAAGGCAGATGCATCTGAACAGCCCCATGATGTTCCTTCCATTAAACAACTGGCCTGGGAGCAATTGCAGTCGCTATTCACTATGGGCCAGGGAGACATGTAACTAACTGCATTTCTGACTTAAACCTACAAGGGCCCCGGTCACACGGAGAATTTGCCGCGCGAAAGGCACAAATGTCGGGCGGATTTTCGGGGCGTGATCACACCACAACATCTGGGAAGCTTAGTGCACCCGTGGCCAACCCGTGGCGTCCTGCTGAAGATGCGGAGTTAAAAAGTAGCAAGGAAAGTGTACTAGTATCCGGAAAACGTGCGGCACAGACGGGAGTCTGATCGCGGGAGCACTAGTATCCCATGGCATCCGGCGGCCGTCCACATCCCATCGCAAACCGGATGCTTTTCGTAAGTGCATGCACACAAACACAAAACTGAAAGCAGTGCTGCTCCGCATAACTGCGCATGTGCACAAACACGAAACACTTGTGTGATTGCGCCGCTTCTTTGCCACGCTGCAGCATCGCTGTGTGATCGCCAGCTAACAGCCGAAGCACAGAGACTCGGGGGACCGTGTGACCGGGCTACCGTACTTTATTTTGCTCCGGGGCAAACAGCCATGCCTCCCCCCCGCGTTATCTGGCCCGTGTGACTGGGGCCAAGGTTGGCTAAAGTAATACATGTGAAGAGTTTTGAACAATCTAAAACCCTGTATAATTCTAAGGATTATTTTCATAGCTTATTATTAGAGGTAGAAGGAGACTAATTACAGAAATACCTTGAAATAAAAAGAGATCAGTTAAGTCCTTGAAATACAGGAAAAACATTTAAGGGAGCAGAAATTGCAAGATGCACATTCCCACTCATGAGGAGCACAGGGGATATAGCATATTGGGGATCAGAAAAAAAGACTATCCACAGATTGAAGCAAACCAAGGGAATGCACAGGAGCAGAGCTCCGGCATTAAGGAGCCCAGGGGGCGGGCACATGCAACAAGCCCTCTCCCCTGCTCCCAACAGCCCTCAGTTGGGCTATGAGGACCAAGAAGCAGCCAGGTAAGTTGCAGAGCCCCCCCCCACCGGCCCGCCTACAGGCACAAGCTCTCCTTCCTCTGTGAGGGCAGATCTGCGCACCCCCCCCCATAGCTAGCAATCCAAAACAATCCAGTGGCACCTTTAAGACCAAGTTTTGTTCAGGTACAAGCTCTCCCTCCTCTGCGAGGACAGATCTGCACGTTCCCCCCCCCCCAATAGCTAGCAATCCAAAACAGTCCAGTGGAGCCTGAGTGGTGGGTGTTGCCTTCTGACACACTTCCGGTGATGTCAGAGGGAGTCGCATATGCAAATTTGTGCTAATAAGTTATGCTAATGAGCTCCTGCACCTCTTTTTCTACAAAATGACCCCTGATTTTAACTAATATCACTGGAAATCAGTTAACTTGCTGTTTTACAGTGCCACACCTAAATTAATGGGATGAACTATGGCTCGGAGATGAGCATAAGGTTTGCATCCAGGATGCTTCAGGTTTAATGCCTGACATCTTCAGTTAAAAGAATCTCAAGTTGCAGGGGTTATGAGATGCGTTATACCTTTATCTGCCTGAGACCCTGGAGAGTGCTGCTGGTTAAAGCAGTCGATACTAAGCTAAACTGAATAATGGGCTGAGTCAATATAATGCCACTTGAAAAGTTCCAATCTAATCAATTCCTACTTTCCACATAACAACAGCAGCACAAATGCATAATAAACTATATTTAGATGTATTTTAGTGGCTCTACATATTAGAGTGCAGTGCCTTTCTCCAAAGTGGTGGAAGAAAGAACTCTTTCGTGCTTCAATAGTGGCTACCAGAAGGCATGCATAACCATACACGCACAAGAACATAAGAACATAAGAGAAGCCAATGTTGGATCAGGCCAATGGCCCATCTAGTCCAACACTCTGTCACACAGTGGCCAAATATACCAGGTGCCATTAGGAGATCCATCAGTGGGGCCAGGACACTAGAAGCCCTCCCACTGTTGCCCCCCCCCCCCAGCACCAAGAATATAGAGCATCACCTGCCCCAGCCTGTGAGTTCCTATCTACACCTTGTGGCTAATAGTCACTGATGGACCTCTGCTCCATATGTTTATCCAGTTCCTTCTTGAAGCCGTCCATGCTTGTAGCCGCCACCACCTCCTGTGGCAGTGAATTCCATGTGTTAATCACTCTTTGGGTGAAGAAGTACTTCCTTTTACCCGTTCTAACCCGACCACTCAGCAATTTCATGGAGTGCCCACGGGTTCTTGTATTGTGAGAAAGGGAGAAAAGTACCTCTTTCTCGACCTGCTCTATCCCATGCATAATCTTATAAACCTCAATCATGTCACCCCTCAGCCGTCGTTTCTCCAAGCTATGTTGGAACTGGCATCCTTGTACTTATTAAAGTTTTTTTTTTTTTAAATCTCGGCTTGCTTCTTAAATATGGAATACGATATCAAAGCCATTTTTATTCTCCAGGAATGATCCTGTACGGCTCCTTGTTGATATCATTCCTGGAAAAAATGTTAACACCAATCTATGCTGAAGAAGAAGAGATTGGATTTATACCCCGCCCTTCACTTGGAGTCTCAGAGCGGCTTACAAACTCCTTTCCCTTCCCCTCCCCACAACAGACACCCTGTGAGGTGGGTGGGGCTGAGAGAACTCTTGACAGAAACAGCTCTTTTTCAAGGACAGCTGTGCCAGAGCTTGTGACTGACCCAAGGTCACATCAGCAGGTGCAAGTGGAGGAGTGGGGAATCAAACCCGGTTCTCCCAGATTAGAGTCCACGCACTTAACCACTACACCAAACTGGCTGAGGTCATTATCGCCTTAAAAACCAAGCAACGTTGCCAAAATCAGCATAAGGTTTCTTGGTTAGGCTGGTGAAGGTGGCCAGGGCTAAACAGGGATGCATACTTGCTCCTTTCCTATTGAATTTATTTCTCAATGATTTGGCCCCTGTCTTAGCAGAAGATGACTATCATTCTCCTAAACTGGGCTCCTGCCGTGTACCCATTCTGCTATATGCAGACGATACAGTACTACTCTCTTGCGCGAGGGTGAGGCTCAGACATCTGCTGAACAGATGTCTTAGATATTTTCTTGAGAATAAGTTACTCCTCAATTACGAGAAATCCAAGATACTAGTATTTGCTAAGTCTTGCAAAATCCAAAAATGGACATTTGATGGAAAAGAAATAGAGCAGGTCAAGCATTTTAAATATTTAGGTGTCTATTTCAGCTATAACATGTCCTGGTCATGTCATCGCAAATCTATGACTAATTCAGCCACCATTAATACATCAGCCGGAGCTGCGGTGGCTCAAGTGGTTAAGACGCTGAACTGCAGGCTGTGGAAGGTCGGTAGTTCAGCAGTTCGAGACCCAAGTGTGCCGCATGACGGGGTGAGCTCCCGTCTCTAGTTCCAGCTCCTGCCAACCTAGCAGTTCGAAAGCAAGAAATTACAAGTAGATAAATAGGGACCACTTTAGTGGGAAGGTAACAGCGTTCCGTGTGCCTTGGTGTTTATTCATGCCGGCCACTTGACCACGGAAATGTCTTCAGACAGCGCTGGCTCTTTGGCTTTGAAACGGAGATGAGCACCGCAACCCTAGAGTCGGATTCGACTGGCTTTCGAGCAAGGGAACCTACACAGTTCTCTGTTTAGAAACAGGCCTTAACATGATAGAAACAAGGGCATGGCTTATATCATTCAAATACTGGCTATGTATGCACTACACTGCCGACAAGGGGAGCTACATATACCAAATGCTGTCTGAATCTACCTCGTCTAAATGGAATGCTTTCATAGTGGAGAAAATAATTACAATGGGTCTATCCATGGATTCTCTGTATATGTTATCTTTCACAAATGCATATCAGTTAATTAAACGTAGAATCCTGGATACAGAAATGCAAAAACTAGTTAGCGATGCAAACAAAGCCTGCTCCCCCTTGAATTTCGGAATCCTTCCAACTATTGGCCATCTGCCTTCGTACTTATCAGCCCTTCATGCTCCACAACTGCGCCGAGCATTTGCACTTGCTAGATGCATTACTCTTCCATCTGCTGTTAACTATGGTAGATATAAAGGGATTCCATACTCAGCTAGACACTGTGTGTGTAATCAAAACCAAGTTGACTTGGTTTTCCATATTCTCCTACACTGTCCCCAATATGATGAGATACGTCTTACCTTTTTAGATCCAATCTAATTTAATATGATAGGCTGTCCAGACGCTATTAAGGTGTGCCACCTCTTGAATGATTTGTCACCCGAAATAACTGAAAATGTAGCCTCTTTTTTAAGTTTGGTAATCGAGGATCATCTGCACGACATATAGATGCATATGATTGATTCATTTCTCCTTGTTACCTATTTATCCACTTTTGTAGCTGCGGTGGCTCAAGTGGTTAAGACGCTGAACTACAGGCTGTGGAAGGTCGGTAGTTCAGCAGTTCAAGACCCGGGTGCCGCATGACGGAGTGAGCTCCCGTCTCTAGTTCCAGCTCCTGCCAACCTAGCAGTTCGAAAGCAAGAAGTTGCAAGTAGATAAATAGGGAACACTTCAGTGGGAAGGTAACAGCGTTCCCTGCGCCTTGATGTTTAGTCATGCCAGCCACATGACCACGGAAACGTCTTCGGACAGCGCTGCCTCTTCGGCTTTGAAACGGAGATGAGCACCGCAACCCTAGAGTTGGACTCGACTGGCTTTCGAGCAAGGGAACCTTTACCTTTACCTATGTGTATGTGACCAGGGCTAAAGTGGCCAGAGTAAATACAACAACACAGAACTTATACAGAAATCTAAGAAAGGTACTTGTGGGAAGACCCTTTAAGGTATTCAAGAAAAGAGCAAAACGGACAGCCATACAGCACGCGCACACATGGTGTCTGGCACATCAAGAGAAAGGGCAAATAATCCTGAAGCTCACTGTGGCCAAGATTTATTTCTATACAAGTCACTAGAGGGCAGCAACTAACTCATAATAAATGCACGTTCCATACTTGGCAAAAATTAAAGGACTTCAATACCTGCATACAGCACAGCCTCAATGCGATCCTTGATATACTCAGGGCTGCTCTCAGAAGCAAGAGGAAGTGTTGAGGACCCATTTGGGCCTGGAACCACCAGGGGTCCTACTAAAAACGCACAGGCTCCACCAAGGTAACTGATCAGTGACGCTATAGCTGTGGCCGTGGCACGCTCATCTGGTGAAAACCATGTTGTGGAGAGGAATGGAGCTGCACTCGTTACCGTTGGGCCGGCCAATCCGTTCAGCAATTGCCCTCCATGAATCAACCTGAAAAGGAAAGAAAAAAACACAACACAGATACTGTTACATACAACTTCTTGAATACACTAGAACCAGAGTTTCAAAGAGCATGTTAAAAACATGGAAGAAACTCTCCACCACCACCACCAATTTTTTTGGCTACCATTAAGAAAACAGGCATCTTCTTACTCCAGCCATTCATTCAGCTCCAGCTGCCACGTCTACAAAAGTAATTTTCAACCATCCCTTTTTTATTTTGTGTCCCTCCCTTAACTCGTGTTTCTGCAGTTTCTGGTTCAATTTCACCCCATTCCCTTAAACGGAACCACTCCAGAACTGAGCATACAGGCCCAATCCGCATCTAGCAGTTGCTCCGCTGTCATACCAAACCCACACTGGAACAGAAATTCCCCTCTGCATTGCATGCCACTTTCACTTTGATAGAGTGTCGCATTTTATGGCAGCGTCCAGACTGCTTGCCGCTTTCACGTTTTGATCTCTTGGTTTTATGGTGGCTGTCTGCATGGATTTATGGCTGTTTTATGGCCATTCGGGGTCCGCAGTCAGTATGGTGTTGGCCCCAGGTAGTTGAATGTGGTTTTGAGCCGCATCTTTTTCTGTTTGGTAAAACAACTGAACAAATGCTAAATGCAGATTGTGCCACAGTCTCCCCCTTAACTATTCCTCACAAATTCTTCATCTTTCTTGATAACATTATTTACTTTTCCCTCAGACTTTTAATTTGTGTTATTTTAATGGTACTTTTACGCTCTATAATGGCCGCTTCTTTCATCTACTTAACATCCATTTTCTTCTCTCGAGACACAACTCTGCTGCCCATCTTATTCTCTTTTATGCTGCTTGCTCATCTCATTCTTGTGTACCACTGGCTTCTTCCACTGTACTATCAAATTTATCTCAGGTGACATCAGTAGCATTTATTTGGAGACGGAAAGTAAACTTAATCAAATCAAAAGTAATATAATGCCAACCAAAATACTGCAAAATAGTATTTGCAGAACTTTTTCTCGTCCTCGATGCTCCGTACAAATAAACATAAACAAAAGCATGGGGAGGGGGGATATCCCCAGGCCACGTTGGAAATGTCTATGGCCTGCAGCTTATGCAGCCTTAAAGTAGCTAGATACCTACGATTGCTATTTATTTTAGGAAATGCAAAACTTAATAGTTAGAGAGAGATTCTTCAACTGGAGGAAAATCATCTGGGATAGTGCTTTGCTTACTGGGAGGGTTCTTTCCCTCCAACTAGTTGGCAGTATTACTTTATAGTTTTCATTGCCTCTAGTACCTCATGGGAATAAACAGAAGACGACTACCATTTTTCCCTCTACTCTCAGTTGTTAGGAGATCTAAGCATTCTAGCATTTGGTGCTAGAGAGACAGCTGATGCCTCCTGGCATTCTCCAAACTGAAGCTTCCATTTCTTCCCTTCTTTATTCCAGAAGACTTTGAGGCAACTTTGAACCTGCCAAAACCATACATCAAACACCATCTAATCCATTTGACTGTGCAACACATCCTTGTTTAATGTTGAAACTCTAACAGGGTATTCCTGAGTTACTGTCGTCTGCCCAGTGATTTCCATGGGCTTAGACTGGAGTACTTTTGCACAGGACTGCACTACAGAACTTGAAGACCAGAGGCCTTTCCATCATAGCTTGAAGATTCTTTCTCCCCCCGCCCCCCTCTTTTTTAGGTGTCAAATCCTTGCAAAAAAGGAAGCTGCTCCTAAGGCATGGAAGCTACAGCCAAGGCTGACCATTATTTATGGATATACCAGTTGGAGGGGAGGAGAGGAATAGAATGTTGATGCTATAAGAAACAAAAATTGAAACTACAGGCAAAGAGAAAACCCAGATGTTGAGACTTTTCCCACAGAGGATACAACTAACACAGAATATTAAAGCAAACTGAATAAGCTGTTTAACTGAAGTCACTGCTTGAGGTGATGTTTGTATTTTTACATTTTAAAAACTCATACGCTGTTTTTTTTATACTAAGTTAAAAAATGACGAAACACAATACAGTCAAGGACTAAAAGATTAAAAATTACGGGGAAATTTTTCTGTCACCAGGAAATAACACTTGGAGGAGACCATCCATGCGCTGCATGTTGAGATCTCTGTTGTCAGCCAACAATAAAACCACTAACTTGATAATAAGCATTTCGAACAGTGATGCAGTCCAAAGTTTTTTTGTTAAGCAGATGGGAAGGCCCAAGAGAAAGCCCAGAATGCTGACAAATTCAAGAGGTCATATAATCCCTGCAAGCACTAATATTGGTGAAATAATGCATCTGTGTGGTGTTAAGGAGCCATATGCTTCTCCTGCCAACAAAAGTCCGCATGGTCAAAGCAATGGTATTCCCAGTAGTCATGTATGGCTGCGAGAGTTGGACTATAAGGAAGGCCGAGCGCCGAAAAATAGATTCTTTTGAACTATGGTGCTGGAGAAGACTCTTGAGAGTCCCTTGGACTGCAAGAAGATCAAATCAGTCAATCCTAAAAGAAATCAACCCTGACTGTTCCCTGGAAGGCCAGATAATGAAACTGAAGCTCAAAGACTTTGGCCACCCAATGAGAAGGGAGCACTCACTGGAGAAGACCCTGATGCTGGGAAAGATTGAAGGTCAAAGAAGACGGGGACGGCAGAGGATGAGATGGTTAGACAGTGTCATCGATGCAACGAACGTGAAGTTGAGCAAACTTCAGAGGACGGCGGAAGACCGGAAGGCCTGGCGGGAGCTGGTCCATGGGGTCGCGAAGAGTCGGACTCGACTGTGCGACTGAACAACAACAATGCTTCTCCTGGATCGCAATTCAAAATTAAACTCCTAAATGCTTGACAATTATTAAACGTTTACAGAACTTTTCCAGACAGAAGAGTAATGGCCTGCTTCCAACCGTAGTAAATTATCTTGCTTCTAGAGTAATTCCCTAGGAAGCTTAACAACATACAGTATAATTCATTGTTGGACCTATAATGAATGGCATGTCTCTCTTTGGATGTGACCACATTCTATTGCACTAGGAATGACTGCATTTCAGAGATATTTCGAGAAACACAACCTGAATAAGCAAAATCACTCTGGACTGAGAGGTGCAATTGCTCTGCTATTGTCTACTGGAGAGATCTGTTTCCTAGTAACAGCCTCAAATGCTGCCAGATACATCAAGAAGCTGCAACTACAACTCAAATTGCATTGTATGTACAAACTGGATTCCTTGCATGATGGATGTGCAAGGCTGTATTATCAGATCACACATACGGAAAAGATTACTGCACAAGGAATGAAAAAGGAAGAGGACGGCGCATAGGTAAAACTGTGAGTTATAAAGTTTCTAAGTCGTCCATCAAAATATCATAATCAGCAAAGAATGAGTATACTGAAGATCTGCAACTGTCACAGTTTTTGCAGTACCATAAAGAGGTATGTGGTTACTTAATATCTTGGGAAATAGAAAAGAAACAGATACCATGAAAAAGAGAAATTACAGCGGCACAACTAAGTCACTTCCCCTTTTGGTTGACAGGAATGGGGGAAAGGTTAGGAGAAGAGATAAAAGAAGCCTTTCCTGCTATCACCAAAAGGGCTAACATATACCTTCTTAGCAAAAACACTCACTGGCCCCAAAAACATATTAAGCTGTGTCTGGGCCCGGACTTACCTACCAGTGAGCCAGGGGGCTGAGTGGCAATGGGAGCCGGGGGGGTGCCCCCTCACACTGCAATGGGAGCCACCACTGCTGGCTCCGCACCGGGGCGGTGCACCAATAGGGATGGTGCCTGGGTGCCACGGGATCCACTGAGCTGCTCCCACGGTGGACCACAGGATGAGGAGCCAGGTCTCGGGAGAGAGGAGAGGCTGGTGGGTACTGCGTGCTCCCAAGAGCAGGCCGAGCCAGGCCACGGGACCGCAACATTCACCAGCAGGATGGCGGGAAAGACAGCTGTTTTGGCACAAGGCAAGGACGCAGGAAGCAAGGAGCCAGTGGAGAATGCCGACCCCGCCTAGGGCTGAACAGATGGGAGGCGAGGCGAGGGAGGTGAGACAAGGAACAGACGCCCTCTTGTCCAATGAGAGAGGGACCTGGGTTGAAGGACAAGTAGAAGGACCACTGGTGGTAAAGCTAGGCTGGGAGGCATGAAAGGAGGCAAGGAGGCTGAGGTCGAGGAGGAGGAGGAGAACAGGGGAGTTCGACAGTTGAGAAAGAGAGAGAAGTCAGACTCCAGAGGGTGCCTGCTGCCGGCTAGCCAAGGCCTCTCGCCTGCTTTCTGGGACCCCAGAGGCCCCTTTGCAACCCCAGAGCCATAGCTGAGTGAGGACCCCCTGCGGATGGCCAGCGGCAGCCTCACATTCTTCTACCCCATCAAACGGCTGCCTGAACGCCAAGGCTCCCTACCTTTACGAGACTGATCTAGCCACATGGATCCATGCTATGGTTACCTCAAGGCTAGACTACTGTAATGAATTCTACATGGGTCTGCCATTAAAGTACACTGGAAACTCCAGAACATTACTAGTGGGCCTGCCACGTCCATTCTGCAGTCACTCTACTGGTTACTGATCTGTCACTGGGGTCAATTTAAGGTACTGATTATCACCTGCAAAGCCCTTAATAGCCTTGGACCCTTATTCCTGCAGGGCAGTCTCTCCTAGTATGCTCCACCACATCAACTTCGTTGATCTGAGCAACATCTTCTGAAGGCGCCACCCTACAAATGGGTACGATCAGCAACTACCTGCTCTTGAGGAAGGACTTGCCTGGGAAGGTTAGGAAGGCTCCCATATTTCTACCGCACTGCAGCATTTTCAAAACAGAATGTTCAAGAGAGCATTTTAGAGGTTCTATGGCTGTAGCATTTTAGAGGTTCTATGGCTGTAGCATAATGGAACTGCTCAAGAGGTCACTTTTATAAGAAAGTAAGTAGGAACCCGCAAAGACTTGTGGGAGGCAACTCACTTCCCCCCTCTCCCACTATTTCTTCTTTCCCTTTCCTGAAAG